TACGAATAAGAATATATTTACTTCTTCGAAAGAAGGTTACATTTAAACATAAGTTACTTCGCTTTCAACCTTTAATTTAAACAACAGTGTTGCAATTATTTTTTCGCTTGCTTGATAATTTTTTTATTGTAAACTTAAATTGTTTACATAACGAAAGAAAATAAGAAAAAATGTGTATTTTAGTTCAACATAAGAATATCTTTTCAAGATGCAGAAAACAACACCCTCAAGTTCATGTGCAAAGTATTATTTGCATGCATTTGATGTTTACAAGTTAATAAAGCCAAATTTAAACTACAAATCAGATAGAAAATTATATTTTTTAATCAAGTTTAGTTGATATTCTTCTAATTGTTCTCAATTGCATTGAGTGAAGTAGAATGTTCTGTGAAACACAAGGACCACAGATATCTCGAACAAAGACCACCGCTTCTTCCTCCATAATTCTAAATGCGAAGTCACGCATCACTTACGAAACACGTGTGCCTGGTTACCAAGCGGTCGAGTGAATGACGGTCGAGTGAAAGTTTAGCGTTCAACAAAAATTCGAGAGTTCGCACTCATTTGAAATCGGGTGTAATCGACATAACTTTCTTCATCAAAACCGAAATTATAACTAATATTAATTATTTTGCCGTCATCATTTGAGCATCATAATATCATCCAAATCATATTTATCATTGACCATTCAGCTAGCGCTTTGTAATGCATTATGGGTAGTCCTACGTCATCATTTTTAACATACTTTGTAGATGGCAACGTTTGCAAACATCTGTCCAGAGGTGCTGTAGTCGTCCTTTGAATGCCACGTCTGTGAGTGCGCGCTGCCAAGGTCATCAACACTGCTGACCTACAAAAGGTTGTGATATTATATGCGTTTGAGCGACGTTTTTTTCTTCGTATCATAAGATACTGCTATTAACGCACGCTAACTATTAGACTCAAAACCTATCAGGAGRAGCCGACGGGCTCCTGGGAGAAATATATCTGCTCTTATGTCCCAGCCAGCTGTAAGTGAGTCACAACTGGTTGCCAGCGAGAAATTCAGGAAAAAAGAACTATCCAGGCAAAGAATACCTTTTAAGAATTTTTACCAGGAAAATAAAAAGTTCCTAACCAAAAAAACACAAGCATGCAGTTTTTGACCATAAAAATGATATATAAGCCTTGTTTTAACTTGATTGCCAGGAACAAAATTATTTTAAAGAAGGAAGGGCTCTACATTTTGCTTGCGAGATTGTCAACAATGTAGCTCAAAATCCTTTTCTCATAGGAATAAATTTGTACAAGAACAGTTAATTAGAAGAACAGACCCCGTCGGCTTCTCCAGACCTATAGAGTTATACTGAATTTAGAAATATGTTCTTATAATTTTTTTAACTTTTTTCTATATTGTAATWTTTAGAATTTTTATATAATTATTATTAATTGTGAAATTATTTGTGAATAAAGCTCTTTATAGTTCTAAGAACTGAAAAAAAAAGATAAATGTTGCGATAATAATACCATACTACGCCGACTTTTCCCTTCACCAATCAGTTTCTTCGTAAAATTGATGTCATGAGAACTAACTCTCCACATCTCACTTTTCAGGGCGACCTCGAATTTCTTTCTCCTRAAAAAATACATAAACTATCGTCATGATAAGGAGAGTTGTGTGCTGAAATACTTATGTAGAGGTAGTGAGTATGAGAGTACAGTGTCCTCCAATTAGCGCAAGAAGCGCTAGAAACGCCACGGACACTTAGAGACCCAGTGTGGACCATTATGCTTTGGGGGCCGCGAGGGCTAGAGGCGGCTATTTTCAGTTAACCGAAAGTCCATAAATTGTACTGTGTGTTTCGAATATTTTTCCATCTCAATTTTCTAAGCATATGATATAAGAGTTTTAAACCATCTGAAATTCGTTTTAAGGTGATATTTGGATACTAGAAGTATTTTGGTGTAAATCATAACAGAGGCGCGCAAAGCATAATGGTGAAAACTGGGCCTTTAAATAAACAGTTATTTATATTATTTCATTTTACTAGCATCGTAGCCATTCTAACATCAGGGGAGAGGGGTGCTGATATTTTGACTACTCGGGGTCGCCGGATTCTGTGGTCCATTCCTCGACCTGGGTTTGAGCTCTCCCGACCCACTATTAGTCATATATAGATATTACCTGTAGTAAAAAAGAAATGTAAGCACTGCAAGTAACACGAAGAAGACAGCCATACAGGAATAAACAGCAATAGATATGTAATCTGAAATGAAGATTGCTAAGCATCATATATCGGTATTATCATCAGAGTATCGTCCATCATGAAGACCATACCATTAAAGCTCTACTTGGACGACAATTGCGAAACATTAGAAAAGACTTGGAAATCAAATAGAACTATCCATATGGGTCTAATAACCATGAAGCAACAGATTTTAAGAAGATATTGATTCAAATCTTTAATAGTTTGGGCAAAAAATGTTGGAGTAGATGACGTCATTTACTCCATGATCCTTTTGTTCTTCCATCTTTTGAATCAAAATTTCTCTGATGTGGGACAATTCCAARACAAABATTTTCCCGCARTTGYTTTYAATAGATRTAAATGAGTCATATATTTGTATTGCTTGAAGTTTTGAAATAAGGCCATTTTCATGCAAGTAGCACTTGCGGTTCAACATTTTATTGTACGCATGCCTACTACTATCATAGATGMCAACATGCGCTGTTTTTTGGTCATTTTTTGATGAACGAGGAAAAATATAAAACAATAACACTAACGATGCTGAATTTATAACTCGCCGCTTTCGCGCGAGAAATAAGGCATACCTGGTTTAACTGGTTCAGGACAGTACTCGTTATCAAATCCGCACTTCGGTCTGCCTAAAGGAGGWACAGTGCTACCACCAGGCCAGAGAATGGAAGCATTGGTTATCCCAAACGTTCCCGTCATGCTATGGTAGTAAGCTGAGATGACAATCTTACCATCTTGGACACTCTGCAGYTGTAATGAAGTGTAGCGATCGGCATTGTGGTCGATGTGAACTTCKCCTGATACACCTACAACAATAAACAACAACTTGAAGAAGAAAATGAAAAAAGGAATAAGATAAAAATATCGTAGAAAATATCAAGTTTGGTAAAGAATCTTGACCTATTCGCAAGTAAATTTGTTTGCTTTATGCAATTGACACCAGCAGACAATTTTGATCAGCCTCCTATCACACTAAATGCAATGTTTTCATTGAGTAACATATCTGTTGCCATAGTAAAAAAAATAGGCAGTCGAGGACTGCACGTGACTCAGGCCATTAAGAGATTTAGTAAACTTTGAATACACTATCTTCAGTATACAACGTTTTCTGAATCATCTGTATACGCTGCAAGGAACTGGAAACATCACGTGGCGATCAACCATTACGTTGTCTATGAATACACAACAGCCGGCGATTCCCAGGGGACAAGGAATCTATTGTGATGGTTGATCATCCCTCCCGTGGGGCCTGACGCGGAGCGCCCTGTTTCCTTGCCTAATAAACATATCCGTCTGAAAGATTCGGAAAAGGAATTTTTATCTACGACATGGAGCGGTCCTTAGAGCTTTAATTTAGCTGTAATCAAAGACATATTTCTGTATCTGTTGACTTATAAACTCATGATTAATTCTCGAACGTTTTCTCCAATAAAATGTTTTTATTATCAAAACTGTTTTTTTTACATCCATGTCTTAAAATTACTATTATTCGTCTTATTATAGTTTTACAATAAAACCGAAAGCTTGCTAAGTTTTCCTTGATTTCTATATCAGTTTTGTACGGATTACATTCATCGTCTTCAATTGTTAACATTCACTATATTTATATTAATGATAATGTGTATACTTTTATATCATCAAGAACGGAAATGTGAAACGTTCTAGAGGTCTTTAATTATGTTCCGTTGAATTCCAGCAAATATCTGCCTGGTTTGTGAACCTCTTACGTTAAGAATTYCAAAGAGATTTTTTGTGCTATGGTGTTTATCCGAATACTAATAATGTCTGTCTGATATAAGAACTGTACATCTAATGTTCCTGTGATGATTTCGAAATTGAACACCTTGGTGAAAGCCGTCATATTACATCGAACATCGGTATTCGGCCGCAAACCAGCAATTAGCACCCATCCCCACCCCCCTCAAATAATAAATCCACTGAAGAATGATTATGCAAAGCCTGTATCGTTTGCTAATTCACGACTGAGCTCTGATTGGCTCCCTGCTCCCTAAGGATTTTGGTGACGTCATATATTAGCATAGAACTTCACCGAATAGACTATCCCAATTAGATAGTAGATATCTATAAGTGTCTTCATAGTACGATGGTCTAAGAGGGTAGCTAAAGGTATGCTCTAGTGGGCGGCTACCCCCTCACTCCCTGGCCTTTTGGTTAAGACTAAGTTTTATGTTCACTCGGGATAGCGTGGAAGGGCCGAAATCTCTAACCGTAACGTAAGCCGATTCGCCGCCTCAGCTTCATAGAATGTCTCGGGGGAATCGTCCCATCTTTTTAGTTTTTTATTTTCATTATTTTTTATATATTCAGGGGGGGGTACATCTTCTCCTGAAGTGAAAGTTCTGAGTTCGAGCCCTGCTTCATGAATTTCTCTTTTTTTCGCTTGTTTATTGTTTCTTTTTCGTTTGTTTCTTTTTTTTTTCTATATATTTTTCTTTTCTTCTTTTCTTTGCTGTTGTTACTTCGTTTGTTTTTCTCTAGAGATTTTCTTTTTTCAACTTTAAAAACATATCAAGGACTCGCAAGGAACTCCTGCTACAATTGGATGGTTACGGTTCGGTCACTCAACACCATGACATAGTGACGAGAGGCCCCATAAGCCCTTTCGTCACAAAAATCCAAAAAAGAGCCAATTGATGAAATGGGAAAAGAAAAGAAGAAAAATGTTAGGCGGAAGACATTTTATTCTATGATATGATGCCAAAGATATTTTGGCAAAGAATGTTTCTCGCASTTTAACTATGTGTCGAGTTTTCTTCGTGGCACAAACGAAACAGTATCGATTGATTATCATAGTTACCAYGAAACAGTATCGATTGATTATCATAGTTACCATGAAACGACGTGTTTATCATATTTTGGACTATTTCTCGTCCGTTATCGAGACTTCCTCCTTTCATAAGCGTTGCGTTCGCCGCTAACGCGTAAAGCAACACACAGTCGTGTAGAAAGCCTGCGAAAACCTCAACCTGAAAAGAGATCAGAAAAATAAAGATGGCATCGTCTACGCGCAGATATTTTTAAGCTCCTCTGCCTTTCCATGATGCTTTGATTTCGACTGATGCATAAGTAAGCGCAAGTATTCCTTGCGTATACTTTACGTACGCTTCACGYGTGTTACCATCGTAATTAACATATATCATGATTAGAATCGATAAGTTTTCGGTGCGAACAAAACTCAACAAGTCAATTGCCAATCATTATTTTAAGAATTACGTAAAATTTACGTAAGACGTAATTACGTAAGGTTAACATTATATAGCGTATGCTTACGTACCTCATCACTGGGTTTCATCTGATGTCCAAAACTTTCAAACTCGGGCATTCGGCGTCTAACATCGTCTTTGAAAGCCCGGTACTCTTCGGTATTTGGAACATCCATATGGATAATTTTGAGACCTTCAAAAGCCCGGCACGCGTCGTCATCACGATGCTGCCCGGCTTTGTCTTTACTACKGCAACTCTCCGGTAATGTCACGGCGGAAAAGAAAGCGTATTTTGAAGAAATCATCYYCAAGTCATAAGCATTGAGCATTGCGGATCGCACACAATCGTCGTAGCACGAGATAAAGAATRCTAAAAATAAAACCATAATTTTGTTTATGATAACAAGCAAGGGCTTATGATATGGCGTTTTCACATGAGATTTAACAGATAATGGCTTTTATCAGTGGACTAATAACGTCATACACCGTATGTCGTATTTCCTTTGCCGAAGAGTATTTCACAATCGCCTCTCATTCCTAGTTTTAATGTATTATTTGATATCATGAATACCTTTAACTTTAAAACTTTATCTCATTAGGTGCTATGGGCTTTAATTTATTTATTGTAAGAAATTAACGCCTGGCTTTGAAGTAGGAAAACGCTTTTCATGGGTTCTGATGTAGTTGTCAGTCAATTCCATTTCATTTAATGTAAGCCTCTGGGTTCAGTCTGCGCACTAACGCTCTTGTCTTACACTGTCTGCTCGTCTTAGAGTATGCATATAATAGTGTACACTGTTTACTATAACCACATTTTTTACTTTTGCTATTCTTAAGCGTTCTTTCAGTCCATTCTTCCCAACCATCTTTTCAAATTTAAAAAACTCGCTTATTCTTTCATAATTAAGTTCGTTAATTCATTCCTTAAACGACTTCATTCATCCATTTTTTATTCGTTCATTTATTATATGTTAATCTACCATTAGCTTTCTCTCCKGCTGACCTTATTTTCTCATTCACGCCGAAATATTCTTGATTTGCATGAAAGCCTCAATTTTGAATTCAAATTGTAATAAAGTACTTACCGTGCGCTTTCTCCCGTGCTGCCTTCAGCATCATTTTATATCGACTATCAGTCATAACAGACGGAGTAAAGCTCTGAAAGTACGATACTTTATATTGACTTTGTCCATTTTTGCCTTSCTTTTCGATCACTTCTCTTGCACCCGTTGCGACCTGTGCGTACATAGTCTCCGTCGTAGCGAGCATTGCAACTCTGTCCCATTTATAAAGCTGCATWAWGCGYAATAAAATAACTCCTGTAGCTTTACTAATGGAGCTTACAGTCCTTGCAAACGTCGGGTATGTTTTCTTGTTGGAAAGTGTATCATCGTTACAGCCGTAGGAACAGATMGGRATGTTCCAATGTGCGGCTAAGTGAGCGCCGGGAACACAACCGATCGAACAAGCACTGCCTATATACGCATCGACGCGCGGTTTTKTACTCCATAAGTCCGCTACYGCATTCAGCGTAGGTCCTGCCTGGCATTGCGTGTCTTTCCATAAGTAAGTTATATTGTAATCAGGTAATATGTTCCTCTTTTTAACTTCGTCRATGGCAATWATGATTGCWGAAGCCATTCGAGGACCACCAGGCCACGTTCCTGTCCACGGAATCAGCGCGCCCAGGCGAATTTCCTTTGAATGTACGAAATGTGAGCGTAGAATCATAAACTGTATAACCATTGAAGCTTGTATTAAAAGMAACATTCTTCAGAGTGACAATCTATAAATTTCCAACGTGCTGTAATTAAAAAAAAAATTCGGGCATCAATGTCGTTGAAAATGAAGAATATGATGTAAATATGAATGAGCCATAAACTTTAATTTAAAACGAATTTGGTCGGCTTAATGCACGAAAACAGCAGTGTATAAGCCAAGCATACCTGCAGATCAGTAATCTGCACTGCATGGAGATGAACRCAATTAATTAATAAAACTAGTTGGTTAACGAACGTACCTTCAAGCAAATAGACTTTCTGATTATTTAACGGAACTTTTTGATAAATCAGTATATATTATCTACAAATTCATTTTGTATGTATTGTAGATTCGGCTGTGGGTGATAGCCGTATTCAGCTTAAATAACAAAAAGATTGTTTTWTGGTGAATCGTCTTTTTCACCTGCCTTATGCAAATTATCGATTTCATATTGTTTCAAATYAATTAATCTAAGCCCTTGGGTATATTCTCAAGCAACAAGGCCAACTATCATAGCATCCGATACATACTGAGCCTTCTGTCCCCTTAACGCTTAAAAGTCCGATACTTCAAATGTGGGAATATTTTTAATAAATCAGTTTGTCCCTGACAGAAAGTCTCGATCAAATATCAAAAACGGTACTGTCATTGAAGACGGTGAATTTGATCAAAAATAATTAAAATGTCAAAACCTTGGCCACGCCATTCAAATGTTGAAGTTCTACTCCATATGATTTTGAATTGATTGTCGATAAAACAGAATGCACTATTATCAAAAAGCAAACAAACAAGCAAGCCAAAAAAGAACTTAATCAYAAGAAGCTTTTGATCCTGAAAAAAACCATGGAGCATCTTGAAAGAGGCGCTCCGGGAGATGCAAAATGCATTTCCTAACATGAGTGTAAAARGAAGGGTGAYAGAGCAACTACAAAAAAAAAGCAACTACGAMAGAAACCCGAGTACGCGCAGATTTGCGTCGATTGGGCAGAATTGGCTGATTTTTGTCAGAACTATATATAATATCAAACGTTTTCCAGTAAGTTAAAACTTATTGCAAAGCTGATGGGACAATTGGATGGTTTAACACCAAGTTACCAAGTTTCTGTTAAGAATAAAACTGATGTAATTGTTGAATAGATCAAGTGAAAACCGATTATGTAGAGGACGAGAAGTGCAGKGCGAAAGAAGGAACGACGAAGAYTGATATAAGATGATTTTACAGTGGGCTAGTGTAAAATTGGTAACGTAAACAAAAAMRCACAAACCGTGTCCGTGCATGAGAACACACTTAACACTCACTATACGCAGATACACAAACATGAGATTTGATAATGCCGACATATTCACTCATGGACGACATGGACGCCTTTTTCTATTTGCACAAGTAGACCGAAACATGTCAAATTTCCTTGAAAACAAATTAAAATATGATATGTATTTAACAGAGTACGTTTTTGGAGATTAGTGGTGTTTAATTTGTTGTATTTAATCAAGAAGTTGAAAATTAGAATAAACTGATTGTTAATTATAACTGCGAAGACGGAATTGGAAGACAAATGGATGAACTGACTGACGAGCAACAAACGAATGGGATGCTAACGAACGAAGATACAACGACTGATGAACGAAGGACAAGCGAATGAGCAGCTAGGCAACGAAGAAACAACGACTGATGAACGACCAACAGACGAATGGGAAGCTAACGAACGAAGATACAACGACTGATGAACGAGCAACACACGAATGGGATGCTAACAAACGAAGATACAACGACTGATGAACGAGCAACAAACGAATGGGATGCTAACGAACGAAGATACAACGACTGATGAACGAAGGACAAGCGAATGAGCAGCTAGGCAACGAAGAAACAACGACTGATGAACGACCAACAGACGAATGGGAAGCTAACGAACGAAGATACAACGACTGATGAACGAGCAACACACGAATGGGATGCTAACAAACGAAGATACAACGACTGATGAACGAGCAACAAACGAATGGGATGCTAACGAACGAAGATACAACGACTGATGAACGAAGGACAAGCGAATGAGCAGCTAGCGACGAAGAAACAACGACTGATGAACGAGCAACAGACGAATGGGAAGCTAACGAAAGAAGATAAAACGACTGATGAACGAAGAACAAGCGAATGAGCAGCTAGCGATCGAAAAGAGTAATGAACACACAAAAGAATGGAAGGATTGGATGGATGGATGAATGAAAGAAAGAAAGCAAAAAAAGAAAGAAAGAAAGAATTTAAAATAAAAATAANTATTCACAATGCGAGCGATAAAATTAAACTGGACATCTTCTTGTACTTTGATTTTATCATTCTTAAGTCAACAAAAAATACTCCGCACAAAAAATTAAAAAATACATTTTAAGAAAACACAAGAACTACTGTGGACTTACACTAGATCCAATCAATCTTTGTGCAACGCGAGTAAAGCTGGCAAAATCTGATATAGGAGACAAACAAATGTTATTAAATATGCTGGTCAATGTGTAAACAACCTTTTATTTCGATTTTCCTTTATAGTGAAGACTGGAACATCATGCTGGGGAAATCCATCCCAAAAGTGTCATTGTGGATTTATCTTAACTTTCAAAATCTCAGAAAAATTTACTAATTAATGCTGCAGGAAACGAAAAAAGTAGTAGTTTATCAGCTTTTTCTTGAAATATTTTAATTGTTTGAAACTTCAATAATGAAGAAATCATTATATCACTCAGAGCGCACGCGTTTTCCGTTTCCGCTATTTTTCTCTCATGAAAGCAATTTCCCACCCGTAGCGTTTTTTTAGTTTGTAGCTGCTATATATTTACATCATTTAGTACAAAAGAACTTGTCATTGAACCAATTCTAGATTGATATYCGAGCAGCTGCTATGGAGTTATATTTCGGAGATTTCTATACAACAATTAGAATTTATAAATCAAGATTGAATGGCTCATTCTAGAGTTTTTTCGATATTTGTTAACATAAATTAAAATAATACACCCACAGACAAACACTAATAAATGCATACATATACACCTATTTCAAAAAACGTTGTCGTCACCAGGACACAGTCTTGAGCCTGCAAAGAATCTCGGGATTTCCATGCGTTTTAATATGTTTAAAAKGTATTTGCCTATGTGGTTTGAATTTAATGGCGGCAACATTATACAAAACGAGTCTCGCCATGAGACATTTTCCTTGAAAAATGTTCCACATCTTCAAACCGTCAATGAGATTTGCAAAGCTATTTTTGTAACAAGAATGAGAATTTTGAATACTTGAGAGTGAGATATATAATA